GCTCCAATTGTTATCATTTCTTTTCTTTTTTTAACCTCAGGTTTAGTTGGTTCTTTATTTTCTAGTACCTTGAAAGATATAACATTAACTTGTTTATTCAAGATTATTTTTTCTTAATATAGGTAATGATCAGTAGCAACTACCCCTCTTAGATATGCTTTTGTACATTCCATGTTTCAGAAAATTGTGTTTCCATTTTTATCTAAACTATTTTTAAAACTTTTATTGATATAGGCTTTAGAATTCATTTTGACATAATTATAAAGTCATGGAATATAATTTGCTCTAATTCAGTCCCCAGTACTTCCCCTTTCCCTCTTTTCCTCCCACCCCTGTTCCCTTCACTCTACTCTACTGATCTTTCTGTTATTCATCTATTTTTTTAATAAATGTCCTGTGGGTATACATGATGATGAGATTCACTGGATATATTCATATATATATATACATAGAAAATTTAGATCAGATTCATTCCACTGTTCTTCCCTTTTCCTGTCCCTCCTTCTTCCTCTCAACCCCTTTCTCTACTCCACTGATCCTTTTTCTATTTTGAAGGGATTTAACCCCTCTCCCTTTATTTTATTTTCCCTCTTTTTTTCCCCTTATTTTGTATTAGCTTCCACATATCAAAGAAAACATTTAGCCCTTGACTTCCTTGGTCTGGCTTATTTCACATAGCATGATAGTCTCCAACTCTATTCATTTACCAGCAAATGCCATAATTTTACTCTTTTGACGGCTGAGTAAATTTCACCTTTTTTTTTTTTTTTTTGATGGCTGTTTTGTATATATACACCACATTTTCTTTATCCATTCATTTATTGAGGAGCACCTAAGTTGATTTTATAGCTTAGCTTTTGTAAATTGTGCTGCTATAAATGTTTATGTGTCTGCCTCCCTATAGATGCTGATTTTAGTTCTTTTGAATATATGCTGAGTAGGATAGTTGGGTTATGTGATAGTTCCATTCCTAATTTTTTGAGAAATCTTTATTCTGCTTTCCAGAGCAATTGATTAAATTTGCATTCCACCAACATTGTATGAGTGTGCCTTTTACCTACATCCTCAAAAGCATTTATTGTTGTTTATGTTATTGATAACTGTCATTTTTTACTGAAGTAAGATGAAATCTCAATGTAGTTTTGATTTGCTTTTCTGTAATTGCAAGAGATGTTGAACATTTCTTCAAATATTTGTAGGCCATTTATATTTCTTCTTTTCAGAAGTATTTGTTTAGTTCATTTGCCTATTTATTAATTGGATTTTATTTTTATTTATTTAGAGTGTGTGAGTGTGTGTATGTGTGTGTTAAGGTTTCTGAATTCTTTATTCTGGATATCAATGCCCTCAGAAGCAGGTGGCAAAATTCTTCTCCATTCCATAGGCTCTCTGTTTGTGCTCATAATTGTTTCCTTTGCAAAACAGAACTTTTTTTTTTTAACTTGAAGCCATGCCACTTATTGTTGTTGTTGTTGTTTTATTTCTTGTGCTTTACAGATCTGACAGAAGTAAATTCCTCTGCCAATATGTTGGAGCGTTGGACCTACATTTTTTTCTAGAACTGCAGAATTTCTGGTGTAATTTCTAGGTCTTTTATTCACTTTGAGTTGAATTTTGTGCAGGTTGAGAGATCTGTTTTCATTCTTCTACGTATGGATATTCAGTTTTCTAGCACTATTTATCAAAAAGGTTATCTTTTCCCCCAACAAACAGCATTGGCACTTCTGACCTTGTCTCTGTGTCTTCTCTTCTATTCCATTGGTGTTCATGTCTCTTTTGGTGCCAGTACCATACTGGTTTTGTTACTGTAGCTCTGTAGTATAATTTGAGGTCAGATATTGTGATGTCTCCAGCATCTCTCTTCTTGCTCAATATTGCTTTGGTTATTCTGGTATTAGAAAATACCAAAATATTTCAAAATACCAATTTCTACACTTATTTTTCCGAGTTAATTTTAAACCTTGTTTTTTATTTCTATGAAGAACATCATTAAGATTTTGATGGGGATTTTCATCAAATCTGTTTATTGCTTTTGGTAGTATCGCCATTTTGATAATGTTAATTTTGCCTATTCAAAAACACAAGAGATCTTTCCATCTTCTAAGGCCTTCAATTTCTTTCCGAGGTGTTCTGTAGTTTTCATTGTAGGGGTCCTTCACCTCCTTTATTAGATTCGTTCCCAAGTATTTTTTAAATGATTGTGAAAGAAATAGTTTTTCTAATTTCATTTTCAGCAGATCCATTACTGAAGTAGACAGAAGTGATTTATTTATATGTCTTGATCTTGTTGTGTCCCGCTACTTTACTAAATTTGCTACCAGCTTTAAAAGTCTTCTGATGAAATTTTTGAAGCATTCTAAATATAAAATGATGTCATCAGCAAACAGATAATTTGAGCCTAATCAACCCTAAAAGACTTCACTTTTTCATATTACCACATTGCCCACTAAGTTTTAGGACCTGGAATTTTTGAGATTATACTTTTGAACTACAGTGGCTTGTGTGCACTATTTCTTCATGGCTAGTGCTCATGACAAACCAGTTTCAAAAATATTACAAGTCTGTTCATTGATTTAGAAATTTATTAATTTATTAGTAAAATATGAACCAAAGAGGATGAATGTCTTTCCAGGAAGCATATGAAAAGGTGATTATGCTTTACGCTAGGGTACACAAACAAAAGGTCCATGAACTTTGAATTTCAAAATCATAAAATTGAGCATGTAAACATCCTTAGTAAAGTGATATTTATACTTAACAATTGGTAAATTGTGGCATTAGACAAAAGCTGATCTTTGTTTTTTTTTTAATATAAGTCTTCTTTGGAAGACAACTCTAATAGATTGAAGAAAAAATTAAAATAGAAACAAGCATCACAATTTCTAACTTAAATTGATCTATGAATTTCAGATTATAAGTTTTTAAGAGCTTAATGAAGAATTCAAAGTGTACCTCAAACTTTTTTCAAAATCTGTGTGATTCCTAAATTTTCATTTTGATGTCCAAATAATGAAAGTTCAGATAAAGAGGTAAGTGTCTCAAAGATGACACAATTAAGAAAAGATGTATGACAGAAACAAGAACACAGCTGTTTATGACAAGTATTAGCTTGGTTTGAACAAAGGTAACCTATGAGAAAATAAAAGGCCGCTATGGTAGAGAACAGAATAATCAAGGTTTTACTCTTCTCTATTTTCAGTATGTTTTTCTCAGAATCTAGTTTCATAGTATTTCTAAATGAAATCATATTTTACTCATTTACTAATACAATCAAGCTTAAAGAAAGAAACCACAAAGCCCTATTTCTTGCTCTCATAAAGATACACCAACTATATATCTAAAATAAAAACACTGGATTAGATAACAGTTTTCTATGAAAACCAAGTACAAGCACAGTGTTAAGTATAAATTGTACCTAAGAGATAACCTAATTGAATTCAGTATGTTTTAGGGAGGAAGAGGTTTTAGTAAAAACTGGCAAGAAAAATTCCGATGACATGATACACACACATAGACAGATTTTGATGTCTATATATACTTATTTATGGACACTTATAAAATAAAAACAAGAGGTAAAAATTTCCAGTCCTATATGCAATAGTATTTATTTTTTCTTAGCAATTATAAGACAAATCTTTTATGGATGCTTGAAGATTTTATTTTTATCTAACAGCTAAAACTTCTTATATGACTTAAAATTTTATCTTACAGCAACACCATAAAACCTCAATCTAAAACCTCTTTCTTTATTGGTTCTTTTAGTTATATATTGGTTGGAATTCATCTTGACATAATTGTACAAGCATGAAAGAGATTTTGTTCTAATTCAAGCCCTACTTCCTCTCCTCCCCTTCCCTCTTCTACCCTCTGCTCCCTTCCCTCTATTATCTTTCTATAAGTTTCACTCTGACAAACTATAATTAGCTCAGAAATGTTTTATTAAAGAAATAAAAAGAATATGTAGAATAGAAAATAAAGCACTGGAACAAAAAACACAAATTTCATGTTAGTCTCCACATTCCATAAAAAAGTAATAAGGGTGAATATTTTCAATATTTTTCTGTTGGAAAGGGTTTTTTTCTCTTTTTATTTATCATCATCGTCATCGTCATCATTATCATCATCATCATCCTCATCGTCATCATCGTCATCGTCATTGTCATCATCATCATCATCATCACTCGATTCTTCTTCATCGGTTTCATCATCATCATCATCATCATCATCTGTTTCATCATCCTCTTTTTCCTTATTTTTTTTATCATTTTCTAGAAGTTTAGAGGTAAAGAACATCTTATTTTATTGTCCCTATTTATAGGGAACAATGTGCTTAACCCTTTACTTCAGTCAGAATAAAGACTGAATAAAGCTCTTGCCTCTTTGTCTCCTACTACCCTTAAAGGTCCCATAGGTATTTTGAGCTATATATATAATATCTGAACATTGTCAGGTATTCAAATTTGGAATCAAAACTTTTCTGTTTTTATTTTTATTTTTTTGACACAATCACAGATTGTACATTATATGTCTGGGATTGAACCTCAGGTTTTTCAGACTCTAAGAGCAAAATTCTTTCCACTACAACAGGTAGATGAGTTTCGTGTTTGTATGTAACATAAGTGCAAGAAGATAGTTTTTTCATTCGTTTGTTTTCAACACACAGTATTTTTATTTATTTTTATGTGGTGCTAAGGATCGAACCCAGTGCTTCATGCATTCAAAGCAAGCACTTTCCCACTGAGCTACAGCCCCAGCCCCCTAGAGTTTTTAAATTAGACAACAAACACACCCACAAGATACACTCACAAGAGTAAAATTTTTTCCCCTAATAGATTGGGCAATGCTTTATACTCTAACTAGATTTTGATCATCTCTTTAAAACACTTTTAGGAAGTATACTTTAATGGTTACAGGAATAACTTCTAGAATCAATCTGAAATGTGACATTTCTTAAGTTTACCCATTAAAAAAATTAATTTCTCTTAACCTTTGGTTTTCTTATCTAAAAAATAGACATAATATTTATAGCTCATAATAATTAGCAAGATTTTTGACAACTTTAAATCTTTTCTAATATTTATTAGATAAAATTTACATTTCATGTATAATTTTAATTACTTTGTTATCTTATTTAAGTATTTATAAAAGCTTGTATGTGTTAGATATTTTTATGGACTCATATTTATGAATTTGAGTCCAAGCCAACTAATTTCAGAATATGTATATAAAGCAAGAGATTATTGGGCTATCGACTGTGTACTCACCTTCACTTAATATTCCTCTGAGCCCAGTTTTTGCAATGAGTATGATTCACTCTTATTGATACAGGATTGGCATAGGATTTTTCATTGTATTAGGCATTGTAACTAATCTATAGCTAATTAAAAATATACAGGAGTGTGGACCTAGGTCATATACAAATACTACCATTTTACAGAAGAAAAGAGGACTTGAGTATTTTGTTATCTGCAAAAGGTCCTGGAATCAATCCCCAGTATATACCAAAGGAAAATTGTAGTTTTATTTTGGAGAACATCATAATATCTGCAGTCCAAGCTGTAACAATTCATTTTGGTGACCAAAAGTCCAAATTACTTTAAAAATCCTATTTGAAAGTTAGTAATTTCTTTTTTACCTCAAAAGAGAATCCAGTTTTCAAATACATTGCAGAAGAAAGATAACACTGGGAATTCCTGTTTAGTAGATCTTTACTTTGCTAACTAAAGTAGCCATCTCTTCTCTTCAAAACATTATCTTTGATGAGACAATATTCAATAATGCTCAGAAAATTCAGGGCAAATTTTCCAAAAGTACCATGAATGATCTATTAAACTGGAATTAGCATCATGATCTCAGGTAATGAAAAGTGCTTGGAGTAAAAGATTGTTCCTTCTCTGACTTTCAGATCTTCATTAGCAGGGGTTCTGTGAGACCCCTAGAACTCTGTTCTTAGTAGCTGGCAACATTCTTTCCTTCACTACTGTTTTTAGCTAATCAGAGAAAATCTCAGTATTTTTATCCTTTATCCCTGAGTATTCTAGTTATATTAAGAAGAGAAAGTGAAAAGGGTATTTATCATCTAAATTCAATAGTTGTATAGCCTTGAATACTATGCCTGACTTCAACTGTCATTAGCAACCAATCTTTTTAAAAATATTTTTTAGTTGTCAATGGACCTTTATTTCATTTATATGTGGTGCTGAGAATCAAAACCAGTACCTCACACTTGCTAGGCAAGCACTCAACCACTGAGCTACAACCGCAGCCCCTCCAACCAATCTTACCCTAATCATAATGTCATAAATCCATCCTTCTCTAGTCTTCATTGTTTCCCCTTATTTTACATCTACACAACTCTTTATGAAACTACCATATCCCCCAAAACAAAGTTATTTCCATTGTTCTCATACAAGTCTTTATTATTTACTTAGTTACTGATGATTAACAGTGTGTACACCTATACAATTAACCAGAAATAATAAAATTATTATAAAAAAACACATAACCTTGGGAATAATTTGTCACCTAAAATGAATAGTAATGACTTGAAAAACCTAGACTAATACTGTAGACATATTGTCAATATTTGGGGGGACAATGCTTACTAAATATGATGGGATATGAAAATAACTGCAGAGTTTTGGTGAGTAGGTGAAACTATGATTGAGATTTGAAGCTTTCTGATGGAACAGTAACAAAAGCAGTTAAAAGTCAGAGTTTTGACTCACCCTTGATATCATAAAGGAGCCTCTCAGCCACGTGTCTCTGGTGAATTTTTTTCAGGATTTTCATGGTAACCTTCACTGCATTCCATGACCCGTAATGGTTGACCAGGATTTCAGCAAGATCTTCATGATCGGAGACTTTCTTAATCTCCCCCCTAGGAATATTCTTAAGTTTTTTTTTTAGCTCGACATAAGTAAGTTTGCTCTTAAACTTCTTCAATTCTTCATCTACAAGTTCTTGAAGAGAATTTGCCAAGTGCTCACGTGCCATTTTGTACATCTTTGAAGACATTGATAAGTGTCTATTAAGGAATTAAAAGCCAGATAGGATAGCAAAGATTAGTTGCTGAAAGCTAGAACTTTTCTCAAATTATCGCTTTACATTTATAGTCACAGCTAAGAATCAAGGGTACATTAAGACTAGAAGAAAAATCCAAGCAGAGCAAATTAAGAACCAACAAAAGTAAGAAAAGCCATGATCTAAAAGGAAAATGTTAATTTGTATTCCATGAATGGAATCAACATACATGGAAAATATCCAAGAAGAGATTTAATCTAGAATATTAGCAAGAGACATATTAAGAATGAACATTATGTCTTAATAATATTGGGAAGTAGACACAACCAAAACACTAAAAAAAAAAAAAATCAAAAGATCACTACTAGCTTTAGAAAATATAAAGTATTAGAATGAGAAATATTCTTAAATAAAAATATAGCTTAAGCAGTCGTTCTCCTGAAGAGAGTCCCCATCTCTTCTAGCAGAAGTCAGGATGCCAAAAACTCAAATCGGTCCCCACATACTTCAAGTAAAACTTTCTATCTCTTGGGACTTCCCGACTCTATAGGCTCTCTATGTAAAAAGGAAAAATGATCCCCAGAGTTTGATGATACCTTCCTTGTCAAGATCCCTTTATCTTTCTTTAACTTTTCAAACCACTTCATTATCATTAATATTTGTTTTAAGCCTGTAATATCTTATCTTAATGTATCTTTTGTCTCTGTTCATGCTTATTATCACAAGAAGCTCATAAAACACTGTTCATCATGTAACTGGGCATCAATTTTCATACAGTTTGAACAGTCTCTTTTTTCTGTCTTTAAGTTTGATTTTGTTTGGATATGGGTATCTGATTACTTACCACATTATTTTGTTCTTGAGCTTAACCTCCATAATGTTTCTACTATTATGTAGATGCAATAAAATGACATACTATCCAATTTGAGATAGATGGTACAAATGTAGGAGAAAGAGCAAAAAAGTTGTATTGCAAAGAAAGACTTGGAGGAAAAATTCCCTTTACTATCATGATGAATGAAGGCTAAAAATAGTTGAGAGTTATTAAAGTCTAAAACCTACAATGTATGTATAATAAGATTTACACATCTTATATGTGATATAATTTATTTATAACTGTTTCTATGTTTCTAGAAGCTTCAAGATGGATATGAACCCTTAATCAAATATAGATAGAGAAAATATTTAGAATGCATATGCATGTTTTATATTGTGGTAAGAGCACTTTATGTGAAATCTACTCTTATAACAAACTTTTAGGTATACAATATAGTAACACTAACTATAGACATTAAGTTGTACAACATCTTACATAACTGAAACTTAGCATCCATTGAATAAAAATTTCCTGTCTTCCCTGCTTCTATTCTTGACATCTCTCATTCTACTCTCCATTTCTAAGAGTTGGGCTATTTTAGATTCCATATGTAAATGGAATCATTCAACATTATTCTCAATAATCAAAATGTGGAAGCAACCTAATGTCTATCAGTAGATTAATTGATAAAAAAAATGTAGCATATACATAAAATGGAATATTATTCAGCCTTTAAAAAGAAGAAGACTGCCAAAGATGATAATATGGACATTATGTTAGGTGCTGCTACAACTTATATTAAAGTATCTAAAAATGGGATGTTTTACAATCAAAAGAAGAACAAAGTGATAGAATGTCATAAAATAAGTACAAGAAATTTACTCACCAAAAAAAAAGTCCTGAAACTTTCTTTCTGTAAGAAAGTGTTTCAGATTAGGTGCTGGTGTTTAGGAATTTCTCTCAGAGATCCTGACTTGGAGCAGCATTCCAAATTACCCGTGGACTTTGGGAAACAGTCTTTATATAGTCTTTTTAAAAAATTCTGATCTCATCTGATCTAAGCACTGATGCTCAAAATAAGATAAAATTCATTCCAAAGAAATAAGAAAAACAAGGTATGGTATGGGAAAAAATAAAATTAAATCACTTCTGCCTGCAGGCAGAAGAGAGAATGAAGAAATCCATCAACTCATACTACTGATTACAGAATAATAAAGGTGGGTACAGAACCTGCCATTACACATTTGTTTGGGGGAGGATAAAGAAATATTCCAGGTATCTATGAGATAAACATATATCAGATACTGGATGATAGTGGAAAAAACACGTAACAGATTCAGAAAACAAATTTATGAACAAAACAAATTTCTTATTTTTATGAGGCTTAATCTAACAGAGAAAAAAGTGAAGTTAAACAAAATAAATTTTGTAAATCATTATTGTAATCATAGGAACCAGGCCAAAGCAAGAGGATACTACAAGAGCCTCCACCAAAACTACAGTCAGAAAATATGGATTTAATTGTAATTATATTGCTTAAAATCTGGAAAACATTGACCAAAAACATGTCCTTCAAACCTATGGTAGCATTCATGATTAACACGGTGTCTCAGAATACTGCATTCACATATTTTTAGTTATATGTATACTCTCCCTAAAAGCAATCTTTAATCCACGAATTCACATAGAAAAAATGAAGTTGAGTCAAGTCCAAATGCCAATTATTTGAATCTTCAGTATGAAATCTGGCACTACTCCTAAGTCTCAGAAAATTACAATTTGTCAACAGCCAAAGAGTGCTAAGCCACCATATACTGGATGACTGAAAACAGATCTACTGCAACCAGCTGTGACACCTAACCACAAAGGCCAGCAACTAATTGAGGAACACAAAGTTATTGTGTTACACAGTTGGGCTGCACAATCTCCAGCCCTCAACCCCAGAGCTAAAGCCAAAAGAAAGTATGCAGAATGCACATCCATCCCTACCAGCAGTCTTGACCACCCCAGTGGAAAGAAGCTTTTTATTTTTTAGCAGTACTCTTTTTATTTTTCTTCATCTTTTTTTCTGCTCTTCTTTCTTTATTGTTTCCTTTTTTTTCTTTTTTCCCTTTTCCCCCCACCATTCTTTGACTTTTCTTTTTCTCTTTTTCTTTTTTTTTTTTGTTTGTTTTTGTTTGTTTGTTTGTTTTTTGTTTTGGGGGGGGGTTTTTTGTACCAGGGATTGAACTCAAGGGCACTAGACCTTAGCTCTATTTTGGATTTTACTTAGAAACAGGGTCTAACTGATTTGCTTAGCACTTCACTTTTGCTAAGGCTGGCTTTGACCACATGATCCTCCTGCCTCAGCCTCCTGAGCCACTAGGATTATTAGGCATGTGCCACCATGCCTAGTTCAACTTTAAATTTTTTTAATTCATCTTCTTTCAAATTTTAACTTTTAAAAATTTTTATCCTAAACATCACTTCATCATATAGTATTAAAATTTTTCAATTTTTTCCATTATGTACAAATTTGTGGGCTTGAATGTGGGTGTGAGCATATGTGAAGGCATATGTGTGTCCTCATGACAATTAGGGCTACAGATGTCAATGGAGACACCAGACTATTATCTTAAATCAGCAGAATGGATCAAAAACAAGATCCAACCATATCTTATCTGTGAGAGACTTATCTCAAAGGTAAAACCCTCATAGGGTGAAGGTAAAAGGACAGAAAAAAAATATTCCATGCAAACCAACCCTGAAATCAGAATAGAGTAACCATTTTCATATGAGCCATTACATCCTGGTAAAGAGAATAATCCAACAAGAAGAAACAATAATAATATATATGTGTTCCAAATATTAACTCAATTACATTTAAAAAAAAAAAGACTACTTGACATTAAATCCCAGACAGACCCCAATACAATAATATTAGGAGATTTTAACACACACTCATGAATAGACAGATCATCAAAGCATAAAATCAATAAAGATATATCCAACCTAAATAATTCTATAAGTTAAATGGATCTAATAGATAACTACAGAGCATTTCACTCCAAAACAGCCAAATTCTCTTTTTCTCAGCAGCTTATGAAACTTTCTCCAATATAGACCACACTCGAGGCTAAAATATAAGTCTAAGTAAATACAAAAAAACTTCATGTAATCCCATGTATCATATCAGAACACAATGGAATGAAACTAGAATTCAACAACAAGAAAAACAATAAAAACCACATAAACACATGGCGATTAGACAATACTCTTTTAAATGAAGAATAAATCAAAGTAAAAGTGAGGGAAGAAATCAAGACATTCTCAGAAACAAATGAAAACAAGGGTATAACATATCAAAATTTCTAAGATAGTAAGAAAGCAGTAAAAAGAGGAAATTTTACTGCATTGAGTGCATGCATTAGAAATATAGAGAGATCCTAATTCAATAAACTTATTCTCCACTTTGAGGGCTTGTGAAAAGAACAAACTAATTTCAAAATCAGTGATAGTCAGGAGATATTAAAGATCAGAACCAAAATTAATGAAATAGACAATTTAGTTAAATACACAAGAATGCCAGAAGCAGTGGCACATGCCTGTAATCCCAGCAGCTCTGGAGGCTGAGATAGGAGGATCTCAAGTTCAAAGCCAGTGTCAGTGACAGTGAGGCACTAAGCAACTCAGTGAGATTCTTTCTTTACATAAAAAATACAAAATAGGGCTGGGGATATGGCTCAGTGGTCAAGTACTCCAGAGTTCAATCCCCAGTATCACAAAAATTTAAAAAAAAAAAAAAGAAAGAAAAGAAAATGCACAAGATCAACACAACAAAGAGTTGTGTCTTCAAAAATATAAAGAAGATTGACAATCCCTTATCCAAACTAGCTAAAAGAAACAGAAGTCCCAAGTCAACTAAATTAGAGATGACATAGAAGATATCACCACAGACATTTCTGAATTCCAGAGGTTCATACAAAACTATTTTGAAAATTTATACTGCAATAAACAGCAAAACCAAGAAGACACTGACACATTTCTAGGCACATATAATCTGCCCAAAATAAATCAGAGATACAGAATACATAAAGAGACAAATCTCAAGTAATGAAATTGAAACAACAAAAAGCCTTACCAACAAAGAAAAGCCCAGGATCAGAGGAATTCTCAGCAGAGTTCTACCAGACTTCTAAAAAAGAACTAACACCAGTCTCCCTCAAATTATCCCATAAAATTGTTAAGGTCGGGCGAGTGTCGGAAGAAGAGACCACCAAGAGACTGTCTCATGCAACAGCAGAGGGTTTATTGGGGGTCCAGCATGCTGGGGCTCAGAGCTCACTTCGGAGAAGCAGAGAGCCCCGAGAACAGCTTAAGCAGAGCTTATATACATTCTTTGGAGAGGGCAGGGACTTCACATACATCATAACAAATCATTGTACACCGTGGGAAAATCAAACAACAACTCTAAAACATGATTAGTTCATTCACTGGCGGGAACAAGTTGGGTAAGGGTGATTGGTCAGTACAAAAAGGGGTGTACATTCAAACTGATTGGTTCAAGCCCTGAGGTATGTACGTACTGAGCTGCATGGTTTCTGGGAGGGGTTGTTTTCACAGAGCAACCAAATGGTCAGGAGAGATTTCTCAACATACATTTAGTGGTTTCTCCAGGAGTTGTTTTGACATCTACATAAATTTCAGGTTCCAGGAAAACAGAACTCAAACTCAACCAAGAAAACAAAACTTAACTTTTACATTCTTAACCTTTCATTTATTTAAAGGGAGGGAACATTACCAAATACATTCTATAAAGCTAATATAACCCTAATATTGAAACACATCTAAGAAAGCAAACTAGACACCAATATCCCTGATGAACATATATGACAAAAATCCTCAATAAAATACTAGCAAATCACAACTAAAAGCAACTAAGAAGATAATGCACCATAATCAAGGGAGCTTTATTCCAGGGATACAGGGCTATTTCAACAAATTTATTGCAAACAAACAAATGTAATTCATCACTTAAACAGAATCAAGAAAAGAATCATCTCATCATCTCAATAGTTACAGAAAAGGCTTTTGATAAAATACAGCAACGATTCATGTTAAAAAATTTGGAGAAACTAAGAATAGAAGAAATTTACCTCAACATTATTAAGGTAATATATGACAAACCCGAACCCCAAATCATACTAAATAGAGAAGAACTGAAAGCTTTCCCTCTAAAATCAGGGACAAGACAAGGATGATCCACTCTCACCACTTCAATTCAATATAATTCCCAAAACTAACCAAGCAAACAGGCAAAAGAAGGAAATTAAAGGGACACAAATGAGGAAAGAGGAAGTCAAGCTATCACCATTTGCTGATGGCATGATTCTGCATCTAGAAGACCAAAAAAATTCCACCAGAAGACTTTCAGAGCTAATAAATGAATTTAGTAAAGTAGCAGAATACAAGATCAAAACTCATAAATCAATAGCTTTTCTGTACTCTAACAGTGATTCAACTGAAAAAGAAATAAACATCCCCTTCATAATAACTTCAAATGTTATGCTCGAATTCGGAACCCCCAAAGACCACCAGAGACCCAAAATCGATGTAAGCAGCAAAGAGGTGTTTATTGCAAGCTAGCTCGGTCCTCCGCGCGCGCGCACACACACAGCAACTGGTGACGCTGAGAGGCCCCGAGCCCAGGGTTTGCAGCAGTTTTATACATTTTTTGGAGAGGGCAGGGACTTCACATACAACATAGCCTCTTTTAGCAAATCATCACACACCGCGGGAAAATCAAATAACAACTCTAAAACATGATTAGCACATTCACTGGTGGGAACAAGTTGGGTAGGGGTAATTGGTCAGTACAAAAGGGGTACTCGTTTGAACTGATTGGTTTGAGCCAAGAGAGGTGTAAGTGCTGAACTACATGGTTTCCCAACTTGTTATCAACCACCATAAACTACTGTGAGGGTCATCTGGCATCCCAGGTATTTCCCTGTCTCATGCTGACTGGTGGCTGCTAGGGGGCTGCTATGGATCCCCACCTAGCCTGACTGAGTCAGGGACATCTGGCGCAGCAGCTCTCTCCTGTTATTTGTAGATAAACAACTTAGCAGGGTGGGAATGTGCTTAGGAGTGCTCTGTGGGTTTTTCCAAGGACAAAGGTCATGTCCCTTCCTTGGACAGGCTTTGCTCTGAGGTAGAGACTGGTTTTTCAAAAAATATCTGAGAATTAATCTAACCAAGTAAGTGAAAGAATTCTACAAAGAATACTATAGAATGCTCAGGAAAGAATTTGAAGACCTCAGAAGATGGAAAGACCACCTATGTTCTTGGATAGATGGAATTAATACTGTCAAAATGGCCTTATTACCAAAAGTAATTTACATATTCAATGCAAACCCCATCAAAATACCAATAACATTCTTCACAAAACTAGAAAAATTGGCCTTTAAATTCATTGAAAAGAATAAGAGACCTAGAATAGCCAAAACAATTCTGAACAAGAAAATAATACAGAACTAACAAAATACCTGACCTCAAATTGTACTACAGAGCTATAGTAACAAAAACAGAATGGTACTAGCATCAAAGTGCACATGAGGACCAATGAAATAGAATAGAAGACACCATCACAAACCCAAATACTTATTGCCATCAATGTGTGTTTAGATAAAGAAAAAGATATGGAATTTTGAAAGCAAGAATTAAGGACAAGCAGTTGGTGTAGATAGGTAATCAGTGTAGACAGGTCAAACTGCAAAAATGGAGGAGGGTTTGAGTCTGGGAAGTTACTGGGAGATTGGAATGTTAATGTGTCCAAAGCCCTTTGATTACCAAAATTACCTGCCCATACTGCTGCTCCCAGAAAGTTGTTAATGAAGCACCCCCTGAGCAGACAGTCAGCTGCTAATTAATGCCCTCTGGGTTGCAGCTCCATTTCAGCCTGGATTAGTCCACCTTGTCCCTTCCAGCCCACCTGCTTCTCACCTTTTGGGCATCTCATTGACATATTCTGGGCCTAGTCATGTACACAGGAAGGAGACAGAGAGGGGGGAAGAGGGCAGGAGAGAAAAAAAAAAGTCTAAAATATATAAAATGGGCAGGACACTCATTTCTTGGGATACAAGAATAGTAGCTGTGATCCTCTTCTCCCTCCTGGGAGAAGTCTATGTTACTATTTAAAAAAAAAAAACCCTGCTTTCTATGCTTACCTCAGCTGTTTCTTTAATGTCCAGACTTTAACATTTGAGGAAGCAGAACTCATTACTAATAACGGGAAGTATCATTACCACAGACTCTTGAGTAATGTGTTACTCTACAGTGTTATAATCATCACAGTGTTACTAGATGAAGGAAATTGTTTAGCTCCATTATAATTTTCAGGACCACCAGCATGTATGTGTCCATTATTGACTAAAATGTAGATAGGTGGCAAAAGATTATATTATACTTTTTTACTATATATATATTAAGTCACCCTTACTTATTTGGCCATGAAGTATGGATCATTTTATTGTGCTACTAAATTTATTTTACTAATATTTTGTTGTTAAGGATTTTGTATCTATGTTCATTTGAGATGTTGGTATGTATGTTAGTTTTTAATTGCTGTAACAGAAATACCTGACAAGAACACCTTAGAGGAGGAATTGTTTATTCTAGTTCACAGTTCCAGAAGTTTCAGTCCATAGATAGCCCATTCCATTGTTCTGGACCCAAGGTGAGGCAGAACATTATGGCAGGGGGACATGGGAAGGATCACAGCCCTATTTGTGGCATACAGGAAGCAGAGAGAGAGAGAAAGTGGAGAAGAGGTCACAGGTGTTACTCAAAGCTTGGTCCTTGTCCCCAATACCAATTTATGCCAATTTAATAATGAGAACATGGTTTGAAGGAAAAAGAAAAAGAATGTTGATTGCCTTGCTAGCAAAGGAGAAACACTGGGACTGTCCAGAGGCTGCGGTTCTGCCCTTCAGGAGGAACAAGGAGAATTTTTTTTTTTTAAATATTTATTTATTTTTTTAGTTATCGGCAGACACAACATCATTGTTGGTATGTGGTGCTGAGGATCAAACCTGGGCCGCACGCATGCCAGACGAGCGCGCTACCACTTGAGCCACATCCCCAGCCCAAGAACAAGGAGAATTTAAAGGAACTCTTCATGAGTAGAGGGTCCCAGGGCACCCTGATGGGTATTAGATCTTCACTTCTCAGATCCTCAGGCAGATATCTCCTTCCTGTGGTGGGTGTGCTGGAGGACAATTAACTAGGAGACTCAAGGATAACATTGTCTCCCTAAACTTGTTAGGGAGGGGGAGAAAAGATAAGAGAGCAAAAAAACATATGCCCTATAAAAAATAAGCCTCAGAGAAATTAGGGCTATATTCAAAAGGTGAAGTGGACCACTGTTACATGGGGAATATGCACCCTTCCAGGGCACCCAAGACCCACTTCCTTTAGCATTCCCCACCTATCTAAGGTTATTTCCCAGTCCATTCAAAATAGAATGGACTGATTAGGTTACAACTCTCACAATCCAATCATTTCTTCTCTGAATATTTTTGCATTAGTATTGGAAATTTTAGGGGTACTTTATATTCAAATCCTAACACTTTGTAATTTTATTTTCTTGTAAGGTCCTTGTCTGACCTTGGTATCAGGATAATGTGTTTTAGTCAGTTTTCCAATGTAAAACAAAATACTTGGTAAAATCAACTTAAAGAAGGAAAGATTGATTTGGCATCATGATTTCAGGGTTTTCAGTTCATGGTCACTTGACTCTATTGTTTCTGGGCCCATCATGAGGCAAAACCTCATGATGGGAATCATGTTGTTATCACAGATTACCAGTGAGGAGTTCTGCTTCCCAGTTGCTGAAGTTGGAACACCAGAGAAGTTCTGAGGCAAGCATAGAAAGCAAGTTTTATTTAAAGAATAGCAACACAGATTTCTCCCAGGAGGAAGAAGAGGGCCATAGCTGGTATCCAAAAAAGGGGGAGTGTCCTGTCCCTTTTATACATTTTAGATTCTTTTTATTCTCCTGCCCTCTTCCCCATTATCTTTCCCCATCCTGTGTGTGTGACTGTAATGCCAGACTCCTGGGACCCCAGTAGACCTCCAGGAGCCGAATCTGATGCAATCACACAAGAGTCTTTATTGCAAGCTTGAGTCTGGACTCACAATCATTTTTTTTTTTTTGATGCAGCAGTCCTGGTCCTTTGTTCAGTGAGATTTTATAGGTTTTTGAGGATAATCTACGCATCACAACATCACACAGCAAATCATTTCACACCACGGAAAAATCAAACAAACAACAACTCTTAACCTT